CATCTAGAGCCAGTGTTTTGTTTGTCCCTTCTGGGCTACTGTAGAAACATGGCGGTTTAACATGGCGGACTCAGTGGAAGGCGACCCGTGATATACGTAGATAAATATTGTAAATTCTAAGGTAACGAAAACACAACAATTCTTATTTTCCGGTGGTTATTTTCAGGTGATTATACACTTATGAAATTAATATTATATTCAATTTCTGCAAGTTGCTTTTGGAGCTGGAAGCCAATCGGATTTCTTTTGTTTTTCCAAGTGTTGAAAATTACGCCCAAACTTGCAAGGCTGGACTTTTCTATCGTCCTTTAACAGACTAACAAACATTATGTCATCTGTAGCTCTATTAGCCACGCTAACGGCTAGCAATGTTAGTAACTTTACCACTTTGGATTAAAATATCTTAAGAAATATTGAAGGGATTGCCATGAAATTTGATACAGATGTTCATTTTCCCCAGAGGATGAATCCTAATTGGTCATCCTCTAAGTTTTGTGCCACCAGCAGGTCAAAGGTTATACTATCTAGTGAGATAACTTGTTCAGGTTCAGATTTCAGTAGCAAATAAATAAATGACCCAGAATCCTTTTTTGTCCACATCGTGTGACTTTACAGTATTAAATGCTGATTTAAAGTTCACAGACAGGAAGGTCTAGAGACACAAATAAAGGGGAACAAGCACTTATTTCACTTCCACATGCTGTCCACCTTCAAATTGCTCCAAAGAGACAACAACACAAACATAGAAACCAAAGTAAACATTTGTTAGTTAGAACATCCTGGTGTGCCCACAAACAAACACACCAGCGAGGCGTGAAGAAAAAGGAGCTGTAACCAGAGCACATCATCATGTGAGTCTATCTTTTAAAAGAAGCTTGGGAACCCCTTAGTCAGAGTCGATCTTAGAAAAGGTTCCTTAATACTGATGTCAGGAGTTGCAGTTTGAGTGTGCACATGATTACTGAGCACAGCTGCTTCCACCTTCAGCCACTGACCTTCTGAACTTGACCCTAATCACCATAGGATTCGTTAAATGAAGTGTCTGAAGTCACGAGCTCAACTAAGTAAATAAGTAGAAATATAAATTAATTCAGTGGGTTTTGAAGATTTTAAGTTTAATTTATTAATCTGAAATTGCATCATTAAAATTATAAGAATTATAAACCAGCAACTGCTCAGTTAGCACATGAAGATGTTGGATAACTGGTGTTTTTTTCTGTTTTGTCGAGAATATTGATCATCTAACATGTCATTGTGATCGGGTAACTCTTATTTTTTCCATTTGTTTAATTCAAATCAGTTAAGTTCAAGGGTTGAGGGCTCATTTCTTTCAAACAGGGAAATTAATCACAATTATTTCTGCCTGCACAACCGTTAGGTACTCATGTTAGATAATTTAACTAAATACTGTCCTATAGAAATCATTTTCTGACCTCTGCTTTTAAGTCTAAAGCTGTACTAATTCATATTTTTACATTAACAATGGAGCAAATGTTTATGGGTAATGTTTAAGATGCTGATCGTCACTGAGAAACTCCTCATTTCTCAGTTTCCAGCTACAGCAGGTAAACAAGCTCGGACAAACACACTGTACACAACCTGCTCTGCAGCAAACAACAAACAGACACAGTTAGAGACTAGCTGGTGAACTTATTGGATCATTTGAGAGCTAAAGAGCCAGTTAATTTCATATATCATATCAATAATTTAAGTTTATAACTTGAGTATTTAGATTATGTAGCTCATGAAAAATGTGGCGTGTCAGATTTAGTTGCTAGAGCTGTTATTTCAACGTGTCAGATAAATATTTAATCAACATTTAAGTGTTGTTTCATTATAAAATCTAAGGGTAAATGTATCCCTAATGCTTAAAGGTCTAAATTAATCCTTGAGTTTTATTTATTAATGTATTCAAGGTTATTTCATTGTCATATACAACGTAGGGTTGTATCATGAAGTTCAGATTGTAGTTCCTCTTTAAGCTACTCACAAAAAAATAATAAAAAAATGTCATCACTTGTAAATGTTGAAACCTAATAAGATGTGATAAGATATTTAAAAGTCAACTCAGGTCCAGTGGAAAGTAACAAAGTACATTTAGTTTAATTGCTATACATATAAGTACACCTTATATGACTAATTACTTTTTAACTTAACTTTTTAACTTATTATAACATATTAATCAATTTTATATCATTTTTGTCTGAGTAGCATATAGGGAACTGTGACTTTAGTTTCATTATACCACCCTGGACTGTAAAATGACAATTAAATGACCTTATATCCTGGTATATCACATTGTATTTTAACATACTTTGAGTGTTTTAAACTTAATGATCCTTTATACTCCACTATACTACATTATAGAAGGAAACATTCTGCTCCACTACATAGCAGTTTCTTTACAGATTAAGATTTTACACACAACATATCATATTTATAAGACATGATGCATCAATATATAGTTTAAACTACTCAACAGTGTGCGAATGAAGCTTGAAATATTTCAAATCCTGTCCAACTATAACATTAAATAACATGATCCAATAAATTACACATTCACTACATTCACACTACAAGCTACTAATAATTTATTTATATACTAATATTTATTTTTTATGGCCCACTTTCATATGTGGTTGGAAAGACACAGTCATCACAAAATCAGATCTGAGTCACATATGAGTAAAAATAGATAAATAAATCAGATTTGGGCCACTTGTGTGAATGTAGCCTTAGTTGCTAATACTTCTACTACTTTTTACTTAAGTAGAATGAGTAAAGTAATAACTGCTTACTTTTTCCAGCACAGCTCTGCTCACTGAAACACTTAAAATCCCCTGAAGAAACACAGAGATTGTGACATCCCTGACCTCAGGGGGAAGCTCCAGCTGATGACAACAGTCTAGATTAGGTTTTTTTTTTTTTGTATATTTTGGGTGGAGCGTTCTTTAAGATCACATTACAGGACCTGTGGCTCTTTAACTCCGCCTGTTGAAGCTGAATCCAGCCAATAAAGGCCTGCACTCATCTCTACACACTCAGGTATCTGTCACGTCAGGGAATGTCACCACCCCGGGTTCGCATGAATGAAAACCTGTAACACTCACTTTTTCTTCCACCTGGTTGCCTTTATGGAGATTTGAACCACGTCAGAGTCACACCTAAGCGGGGAAAATAATGTAAAGCATTTTATCTGTCTGTCTGTCTCTTTTGTTCAGATCTAACTGATTTCACATCTGACAGCTTTAAAATAAATCAAAAAATCTAATCTGTACGTAAAAATAAAGTCTGGCTTTCCACTGTGCACCTACAGGAGCAACAGCAAACAACTGAGCCCACTGGTAGGGGGTTTAAAAGAGTATTTCAGGTTCCTGAAGGCAAAAGAAAACACACCAGACCAGTCGGTTCATGAGCTGACAAAAGAGCCAACTTTGCTGCTAAAGTCACAACAACATAAATAAAGCTGAAGGCTTTAGATCTGGGGTTCAAGACCCTCTCTGGGGGGGAGTGAAGGAGCTCATGTGCTCCTTTTTGACACTCAATAGAGTCAATGAGGAGGAAAACCTGAACTAAATCATCTCATACAAGACAGAAAATAATCAAACATCTACAGTTTTATGAGCTTTTTGGCTTCATCTTCATGGAAAAATGTAGGAGCCACTTCCTCAACCAGATCAAACAGCTGACTGCCTCTCTCTAAACAGCTCATCTAACCTGTAAAAGCAGCTTGTCTTTGCAGTGAAGTAAAGTCACTCACCTTTGCGTCGTGCGCTGCGCCTCTCAGACTGACAGGAGCTCAACTTCCTTAATGCAGAATGAACGTGAGAGAGCTTGCTTACACCCACTGCATCTGAAGACGGATGAATGTCGCAACACGCGGAGACGTGCTGTGTTGTTTGTTTTCGGGGCCGACAGACGTGGAGGCTGTCGGGTGCGGTTGGCCACTTTAACGCGCGGCGGCACGAATGGTTACAGCTGATTTCACTGAACAAAACCGATACTAAACATAGCGGAGGTTCCCCGAGAGGACACCTAACCTCAACACCATGATGAAGTCCAAAGGAAGCTGGAGGAGAGCTCGTTGAGGTTGCAGCGGCAGGTGTTTCTCTGCGCGTAAAGACGCATGAGGAGCGCACAGTCAGGATCATGTTCTCGGATCAGTTCACCCCAAAATATAATTGATACTGGTTTAAAATGAATTAAAAGTGGCGTGTTACCAACTTTATTTTAAAGGCTACAGTATATGATAGTGCTGGAAAGTACATGTACTCAAGTAATGTACTTAAATACACATTTGAGGTACTTTACTTACTAGTTAAACTTTACAAATTAAAATCTTTACACATAAAACAGTTAATAAAATATGATGTTCTGTTATAAGTTAAAGTACCCAACGGCATGTACAAGTACAGCTGAAACTATTATTTGACTCATTGATTAGGTGATTGACAAAAAGAAATAATTGGCAACTAATTGGTTGAATCATTTTTCATGAAAACAAAGTTCCAGCTTCCCAAATGTGAGGATTTGCTTTTAATAATCTTAATTAAATTTTAATCATTTTGAGGTTTGCACTATTGGTCGGATAAAACAAACATTGAGATGTCACTTTGGGCTTATTGTGAACAATATTTTTTAGAATTTTTACAAACCAAACAATCAATTTATTAATGAAAATAATCATTAATTGCAGTCCTACATAAAATGGTTCAAAAAGAGCTCCACCTGAACCAATTACAACAGTAAAAACAGTAATAATAATCTAATATATAATAGTCACAGGGGACATTTTACTGCAGGGTACCTTTTTCTTGATTGTTCTACCTACTTTTAGTAACATTTTCAATGCACTTTTACTGTGGGTGTCCACATACTTGTGGTCATACATACAGTTTGTACTTTATAGCTTTCAGGACGATCATCCTTCTTTTTAACTAGGTTGGTGCAACTGAACATTGTGACAGACTCTTACAAAACAACAGTCTGCATGTTGCGGCACTGCTTCAAAGTTTCACAGGAAATACAAACCTCAAGCAGGCCACTTAAAAGTGACATTTAACGACGGCAGGACAAACTGTATCTTTCCATCCCTGAGACACTGTGAGAAATAAGATGTTCTCAAGGACAAAATAAGATAAGACTGAAGTTTCAAAAAAAGCATAAATATATAAAAAATATCACCTGCATCTCTTCCGTCAATAAAACAACATGTGTCCAGTGCTTTACAGTGACTTTACTTCTGTTTTGTGACATCAATTAGCCTATTTAGCTCTAAAGTGCTGATACAGTATTCAAGGCCAATAGAACAGAAGAAAGAAAATGGGGAAATCAGGACAAGTATATTTTGTCTGCGTCAACTTTACAGGAAATATTTTGGATGATAAAAATGGTCCACAGTGCAGAGAAAGCATAGAAACACAACCTGTTCTGAACAGAGACAAAATGACTTTACAGGAGAGTTTTGAGCAGAAAATGTGATCGCCACAGAAACACAGAACACGTTGATGTTACGTTCACTTACAGAGGGACAAAACTTGTGATGCCGCTGTGAAGGACCCTCAACCAGGCAGTTTATTATATTAAAGGGGAAATTCAGAGTTTTCAAGGCTTTTAAATGCATCACACTCCCTCCCACATATTGTCTTAAGAAGGTACAGAGGGGATCTTACAGTTCTGACATTTATGTGCTAACAAATTCTAACATTTGACAGGAAACCAGACAAAGGATGAAAACTCTGTCGGAGGCTCTGATTGTGTTAAACGTTGAAATTTTACTTTTTCTTTTAATTTTGTGTGATCCAATTGGAGACGTGCTCTGAACGGAGGACAGACCTCTAATAATGAGCTATTTAATTTCTGTTTTAGCCCCTTTATCAAAGAAATTCTGCTGATTTTATTTATCTAGGAACTCAATTTGATATTTTTCCTCATTTATAAGAGCTCACTCGAAGCACTTCATAGACCACAAACTAAAAGCTGTCGGAGAGATGAAGAGTGGAAGAACAACTTCGCTACCTAGAAAAACATAAACCTTTTCTTATCTTAGCTCCAAAACAATGAGTGTTTGTCCTGATGGTGCGCCAGAGGGAAGGCCATGTTTTAACCCAAATCACAAGGGTTTATTCTCAATACAGTGGCCATTTCAGGACATTTCTGACTCTCTTAGTCTGTTAGCATCCTAACATGGCTACAGTTCAAATTAATATCTGACATTTTGCACATTAGCATGCTAACATTTAGCCAGCCATTTTCTGTTCACTTAAACTGTAATTTAAGATTTATTTCTGTACATTGACTCATCCATCTCATCCACGTAGAACTGAAACGATTAATCGACTAATCAACTGACAAATTAGTTGTATTTTAAAAGTGTCTCATTTTTTGAGCAGAAATTAAGACACTTTCAAAATGATCTGCTCTTTTTCTGTCATATGTGATTTTTAAATGAATATCTTTGGACTTTTGGATGAATAAAGGGATTTGAAGATGTCATTTAGGGCTCTAGAAAATGTTACAATTTAAAGATAAATTGATAAATCAAGAAAATAATCAGCAGATGAATCAATAATGAACATAACCGTTAGTTGCAGCCCTACATCCACAATTGTTGCCATGTTTGTCTCCATTTGTCCAGCTCTGTCACAAGAAGATGACGTCACAGTTTCTTAATCGGCTCTGATTGGCTCGGTGGTTTTTCAGTCAGTGAACAAAAGACTAAACCAGGGTCACTTTTAGCGATTTGCATTAGCGAAACATTGCATTTGAACATGTGTACAGTTAGCATGGTGACTTTCCAAATGTATGTTTGTACAGAATTTTAGTGTATGATGTGTAACATTTAAAATGAGCACGTTTAACAATTTAGTGCTACAGATAAATATGAGACTGAATTCAGTAATTAGCTTTAGCGGTTTAAGTGTTTTTACCTCATGGTGGCATAAGAGGAAAATCTTGAATGTACAAGATTTCAAGGCAATCCCTCGAATAGTTGCTGAAATATTTCAGACCCCAAGTGTTGGACCGACTCACAGTCAGCCTGGCTACAAACAACAGGACTTCACTTCAAGCTGAGGCCAGTAAAATTGTGTTTGCATGAATCTGACGAACACTCTGAGACATGATGCTAACCGTAATGTTAAACCAAAGCTATAGTAACAAAAAGGAAATGTTTCAATACATGAAGAGGTAGTCTGAAACACCTTCAGCGTTAACAAATGTAAATACAGAAAACATTTAGTGGCACAGAAAGAGTTTTTTATGAATACATGTGAGATTCTGAACTTTCAAGTGTTCGATTTGTATTCATTTACCTGCATAAATATCCAAAATGTTTACATCAGGACGTCATGTCGAACCTGATGAGGCTTTAGGTCTTTAGTTAAGGCTCTGGTTTCCAGTATTTCCTGTCAGGACCACAAGTCTTTTACGAGGTCACCCTCATCTTCGTCTCTGAGTCAGCTTCTTGGTTCGCTGCTGTTTTTTGAAGTCAATAAGGCAGCCGGTGGCCTCTGAGATCGGAGTGAAGGATCGGATGGGAGAGTTACTAATCCTGATGGCTGAAACGCCACCTTCCTCCTCGTCCTCCTCATCGTCATCCCGCAGATCAATGACATCTCTAACACGAGGACACAAATCCAGGCCCGTTAAAACAGAAAACACTTGTCCAAACTGGTAAAGAATAATCCTTCACCTTACTTGTTCCCCCCTGTTTGTGTTGAATGATCTCATGTGATTATTATTATGTGTGAGGCTGCAGCTATTTTATATTTCATTATATGCTACGTTTATTATCTTAATCAATATAATGATGAAACAATTAAGCCCTTTTCAGACATGGAACATAAACACTGTTAAAGGACCAGTGTGTTGGATTTAGGGACATGTAACGATGAAGTTGAGGCTCAGTCTTTCAAGCATTTAAGGAAAAACTACGATGGCCGCCAACTACTGTTGAGACATTGCAGACTCCATGGAAGAGGACCCGCTCCCTCTGTAGATAAAAACCAAGCAGCAACCTCCTTAGCTGGCAAAAACTGTAGTTCCTCGAATGGCCACTTGAGGCTACAGAAGTGAGTCAATCTCAATAAGGCTAAATTAAAATGTCAGCATAAATAAACATGTTATAAAAAACTGTTTTGTGTATTTCTATTGTAAATCTTGAAGAAGTCAATTAAGACTCAAAGCCTGAAGAAATTTATGTTTTCATGTTTTTTTTAAACTGTATTTATAGATAGTTTATAGTCTTTGTAACCACATGAAAGCTGTAAAATGTGAGTTGGGTATCAGCACAAACATTTCTGTCATCAGTACACAGACACAGGTACAACAAGGTGTTAAAACTTTCATTGTGAGGGACTCTGGATCAAAATGTCCACACAGATAAACAGGAGTTGTAAGTAAAATCATAATGTAACAGTGTTTCTAAGTCGTCTTACCCTGGCTGGAGGCTGGATCCAGACGGCCCGGCCTCTGTGAACACAGATCATGTCAGAAAAATGTGAATCAACTGGAGTCTGACTGACCAGAGGTTTGAGACCTGATTCTACTGCTGATATGTTTGTTCTGAGGATGCAAAAGCGACTCTGGGTGTTGATTACGATCTGAGGTGAAAATCTCACCTGTAAACCAGAAAATCCAGATCAGAGCTTTAATTAACTGAGGGGCAAATCAGGGGCTCAATTGCCCTGATTATTTTGAAACCAACCTTACGAAAGTCTAAAATTTTGCTTCAGCTATCATTATTTTCATTATCAAATAACCAAACAATGATTTTCTTAATTCATCTATTAATAATAAGTTTGTCTATAAAATGACAGTAAACATTTAAAAAAAGCCTGCGTTTATACACCATAGTTGACATCTTCAGATTTTTGTTTTGTCCCACTAACAATCCAAAACATAAAGATATAAACTTTTTGTCTACACCGGCCACACAGTGAAAGCAGCAGCAGTCCTTCATCAGTGTCCACGCTCATAGTGTAGAATTGTACTTTGGGTCTCTTTGTTTTAACCCCGCTAACAGCTTAGGTCTAGGGATGGCGGTGTTTGTCGATCGGTGCACGACTTTGTTCCAGACTTAAATATCTCAGTGACTATAGACCTTTTTCACAGCAGCCATTTTGACATGAAACACAGTGTTGTGTTACCAATAACACTAATTAAGGTTCTGTTTTATTCAGCTCAAACAGGGTGCTGCTATTGTGCATGTTGGCTCACTGGAAAGGCAGTGACTGGAACAAAACCTTAATTAGTATCATTGCTAACACCTGTGTTTACCCTACTATTTCACTTCAAAATGGATGCTGTAAAAAAGGTCTATTGGATGGATTGTTGCCCTGATCATGCTGTCTGACTTTTCCTCTAGCGCCATCATGAGGTTAAAATTGAAATCTGTCAAATATTTTGATTTATGACCAAATGACGGCAAAACTAATGACAATTCCATCAACCTTGGCTACACATTGCGTTAGTGTTAATTAGCAAAGCATACTATCTGAAGTAAGACATAAACATTATACCTTAAAGACTTTCTCACCTGAATGTCTGCTGTCCGTTTGCTCCAGAGCCGATAGCAGGTTTCCCTTCTGGAAGATCAGAAATGTAGAAAAGAAAAGTTATTCTTTATCCTCAATAAAAAGAGATCACATCAAAAAAAGCAAGAGATTGACTGTGAAAAGGGTTTAGTTTGATGTTTTTGCAGAGTCATTCTGTGCTTTGGTTGAACAATAACTTCTTTTTAACTTACAAATTGTGAACCTTACCGTTGTTTTGTGTGAGGTGGTGTTACTGTAACTGGTGTAAAGAGGCTTACCGCTGCAGTCTTTGATGACTGTCGTTGGATGCAGAGCTCTGTGTGTCTGCTGTAGTCTCTCAGAGGAACGGCTTTCTGACAGATAAAACATTTCTCTGGGTTCCTGTGGAAAATAAGACAAACACCAGGTGTAAAAAAAACAAAAAAAAAAACAATTGGTCTGATAATGCTGAGTTGTTTCTGTTAAATACTAAGTGCTACCTACTTACATGCTAGTGTTGGAGGTGTCAGTCTCGTCCGCTGTCACCTCTGCTCTTTTTGTTCTTTTCCTACGAGGCTTCAGTGATACTATAAAGTGGAAGAAGGTGTCATTTTAAAGTATCAACACAACACTGACATTTTTTTAAACTGATGTTAACAGTTGGACGTCATAGACACAGACGACAGGCATTCAAAAGCATCATTATTTTCATCCAAAACTGCAGTTTACATTGACTTTATAAATGTTTGGTGAAGTAACATCACCATGATTCTCAAGAAAGATCAGAGAAACAGTTCATCCTGTTGAATGGTAAAAGGCAGACGAGACAGAAAACAAAGATTTAGTAGAACAAAAAAGAAAAAAAAGAAAGAATAATGGAAACCTGATTGATGATTATTGTTGTCATGTTGTTATTGCTGTTTGTTCTGGAAATCTTGTAATACTTTACAATAAAGACAAGAGAAACAATCACGAGAACCTTCCTCCCTAAACGACCAATGTTAAAACCCAACCTACGGTTTTTACAGCTGTGAAACTAAGTGTATAACAGGTGTTAAAATATACTTTCTGTCACCTGGGAAGCAGTCGGCTTTTGGCCTCCTCTCATGCACGACGGCCACCTCTCCATCGCAGTATGCAGCGTGCATCTCGATCTCCGTCACGGGGAAGGATCCCTGACAGATGGGACAGTCCACGTTGGTTTCAGAGCTCTGAGAGGCGGCAGCTGGTTCCAGTTCAGGAGACGTCGACCTTTGAAGCCTTTGCTCCTTTATCTCCTCCACATCTAGATCCCCCATGTCCTCCTCTACCTCCTCCTTCCTCGTAGTTGGTCCTCCACCGTCGCTGCTGACAACAGGGATGTTTCCCTTCGTCTTTCTGTCCACTGGGGCTGAAAACAGTCACATACACTCATTTTTCAGGTTATTTTCTGATGACATGCACATTAATTTGGGCCACAAACAGATACAGAGGAGTAACTATGGAAACAGTGATGCTGAGAATAAAAGTGTTTAAAGTTTTCAGGCTTAATGCCTTTTGAAGCGGATTATCAAACACTACTGCACAGAACTTACATAACACTTATAATGCTGACTTTGTCTTTATATTATTAATATGGTAAGACATGGGAGAGAGTTAACGATTTTGACCAAATATGTTCGTAGTTCCTGTGTTTTGCCTTTGTAGCGCAGGTTTGTAGGGGAGATCCATTTCCAGTATCAGCTTTCAACTTTCAGCCACTAAACAACCAGGCGGGTTTCAAAGTTTTCTGTTCTATCAGTTAACCGTGCAGCCTCACCGTCCACCTCCACCTCCACCTCCACTTCCATCTCCTCCTCATCCTCCTCCTGCCGCTGCCGCTGCTGCTGCTTCTGCTGCTCGTCCCTATCTGGAGAATCGTTCTGAAGAATCATCTCAACCTCAGGCAGCGCCGGGCTTTTAGGTTGGAGCTGTGGAGAAATCCAAGGAAGGTGTGATATTTATTATAGATTTATTTTTATATGATTCTCTTTGCTTATCGGGGGGGACGTGTGATGTGAATCATGGCCACCTGCCAGGTAAACGCTGGTGTTTTATCTGGGTGAAGCAGGAAAAACAAGTCAGGTTGTTGATTACAATCTAAACAAACATCTGAATGCAGAAAATCGGAACATCTCAGATATGTTTTTGTTAGACTGCTGTGTTTGCTACCTTATCTCCATTGTCACTGTCAATTATTTGGTAACCACTGATGTAATGCAACAAAATTAAGATGCAGGAACACTATAAAGTACAAATTCAGTAAGGACACTATAAAATACATGCTAACTATGGACAGTAAACAGTGCTAATATACACTCTAAAGTAGGACTGTGTATTGGCAAGAATCTGGTGATAAAAGTCACGGACACTAAAGTGCACGCTAAGCATCAACACTGTAAACACTACAATCCAATTACAAATTAATCCTCAGTTGATTCTTTACAGTATTGTAAAGTGTGATACTTATTAGTTTATTATCATTAGTATTAGATTAGTTTCCTCAGGTTTTACAGAACGTCACAATCTGTCTGCAGGTCTTGTTTTAGTGAAGTTTCCGGATACTGTGCTACTTCCAGCTGAATTTAATATCCTCTAACCTTCGTGCAGTGGTAATTCAAACTCAGGAATCTACTTGAGAACTGACTGCATGTTGAAATTCAACACATGAACTTACCTCTGTTCTAGTGACAGTGTCTATCATCAGATCTTGCGTCCTGTCGTCATCGTTGTCACTCAGTTGGGTTTCTGTTGTGGGAGAGACATGTTGACTGTCAGCAGTTTGTATCAGGTCTAAATGTGATCATAAAAAGAGGCCAGTTTGCTCTTCTGGTGAGAATTTATTACAGCCATCATCTGTTGATCTGTGGTTGGTCGCTAACTTAAACAACCAGGTTCAAGCACCTTAATAACAAACCAATGAAAAAGGTGGAGCTTCAGTACCTGGACAAACCTCGCAGTCATCGTTATCCACCTCTACTCCTTCTCCCTCATTCTCCTGCTCTTCTCCTTTGTTCTCTCTTTCCTTGCCTTCCTCTTCATCCCTCTTGTCTTCTTCCTCCTCTACCTCAACTGAAGGAGAATCAGCTGTGTCAGACAGTTTTTTGGTCCTCAGTCTGAGCCCACGCCTGAAAATGCATTTAAATAAACAAACAGTGTCAGTTGAGATGGAGCACAGATCGAGAGAAAGTTTAAATGCAACAAAAACAAATGTCATTTAATGACAGCCTACTGTACACATACGGTACTCTGAGCACAACAGTGCACTTAAACTACACTCGTTTGGGTTAAATGTGAATATTTCCATCATGACTTCAGCTGGTTTGACATGTTTTATGTTTCTATGGGCATAATGGTCCCTGTAGGGGAGCCAGCTACAACATTAACATCCATCTCATTGTTACTGCATCAATAATAATAATCTAATAATATCATATATAATAACGACAGGGGCCAGTTTTTTACTCAAGTAAGATTGTGAACGCAAGAGTTGTGTTAGAAATTGTGTTATTTTAAGACTTCATCCACCACTGCCAAGGTGTGGTGGTTACATGTGACATCTCCTCCTTGGATTCCCTTAGTCAAACAGATCTTAGTCACACGGATTACGCTGGTGTTTGTTCATCAAAAACACCAAATGTGGTTTAGTTTAAAGTAGATTTAGGCTGGTTCCAGACGTTACTCACAGCTCTGTCTTAAAATAATGAATGAAACAAAACCGAAATTCAGTATCAGACAAGAGTAAATTGTCATTATTCTGTTACTCTGAATTATCAAGCTGTTAATTAATCATTTAAAGCAGTGAAGGCATTTTTCTAAATGAATGAATGATACATTTATGCTTCAAATTAAACCGGTAACTCATCAGTCCCATTCACTGATTTTATAATCAGGTTAACTAGTGACATCTAGTGGCCGAAATACATTACTGTACTATTATTATACAGTATGTGTACACGGGTGACTGTTGAGTCTGGAAATGATAAATGATTTCACATTATACTATATCCCATACTATATTATACTGTTTTATTACATTATATTACTTATACTATATATTATATTTATATCATACATAAATCATGCAGACAATGCTAAGTATTATTACTTAATGATATCATGTATCATTCTAGTGGTGAAGGTATATTATTTTTGTTTCCATTCTGTAGTATTGTTTCTATTTTTATTTTTATATACTATTAATACTTTTCCCTATTTATCTGTACTTATGTCTGTCCTTGTGCTACCTGAATTTTGCCTCTGGGGAGTAATAAAAGGTGCTCACAGCTAAAACAAAATTAAATTAGTTAGAAATTAGTATTAGTAAAGCTCTGATGACAGCTGGAAAGACAAAAGCATTTACTTAACTATCAGATATTTAATCATTCATAAAAATGTATTTCTATGTGGACCTTTACGTGTATATGGTGTTATTTTTAATAAAAACAAGTTTTAAACTTTGCGACATCCATCAACATAGCAGGCCCTGCATCAATGTTTCCACAAAACAGAAAATATATTCATTTCTTGTATACAAACTACAAAAATAGTGCATCAGTACATACTGCAGATATAATTACAGCATTGCGTTACAGTAAATAAAAAGGTTTATAATCTTGTTTCACTGTTTATTTGTCTTTTATTCTGGTTTGAGACTAAAGAAGAACCTTGCTGTTCTACTTTATGTTTCCGAGTTTGATCCTGTGTGACCATGAAGGCTAACAAGACGCTAACAGCACATTTCCACATTGTAGAAGAGCTGGTTAAGTTGATGGAGGTTTTACCTTCGAGGAAAAAGCTCTTGAGGTGACTCAGCAGGCGACTCAGGTGATGGACATTTCTAGGAAAAAATAGATAATGTCTATCATATGACTCACAGTTACAGGTAACCTGTACCTGCAGAAGTGCCACTGGACAATTAAAAAGTATGATATCCAAGAAACCTATCCCGTTAGAGACCGTTTGAGACAGCAGCATCCACGTTAAAATCATTATCATACCTCCGGCTGTGGCAGGATGCCCTCCCCCCATTCAGCCTTCCTCAGCAGACACCTCTGAGCCTGCTTCAAACTCTTCTCATACACCTCCATCTGAGCCAGGATCACCTGAAATCAGAGACACAAAGGATGGATGGATGGACAAACACATGAAAAAGTGAGGAATTGTGCATTAAAATGATTCGATTTTATTGTTTGTATTATAGAATTAATCAATATGCTTGATATATATGAGAGGAAGAAATGCAAGTGAGGTTTCATACCAAATGTAGTTCAAATTAAAACCAAATTTCAAGAACATTGGCAAAAGACAATGCTAATGAATGCGCATAAAACTGAGAAAAGCAGTAAATATTCACATTTTAGAAGCTCCCACCAGAGATGACAGTGAACTGAATAAGTGATCATAATTTATAGTAAGAAGAAACAAATCTTCACCTGTGTGTAGTTGTCTGGGTCCAGGCCTCGTGGACAGAAGGGAACCCCCCAGTAGTAGTGCACCGTCGGCTCGTCTACAGGCTCCCCATGCGAGGCTGAAGGCCTGCTGACCGTTCCCTGACTGCTGATTGGGCGTTTTTCTCGCTCTGTTGGAGCGGTGGATGTAGAAGAGGAAGAAGGTCTGACCAAGATGGGTGGAAACATACAGAGAGAGTTAGCAAAAAGGCATCTTTAAACTGAGACTCTTTAATTAGACGTAGTATGTGAGGTTTAGCTAGTTTGGAGCTTAAGTAGCCAAATCAAGAAAGATAACACACAACTTGTTTTACTTATACTACAGAAACTCTGCTTTCTACCTGCAGTTTGACCTGGTAGTCCCTTGAGAAGCTGCAGTCACGTGGTTCAGAGAGGCAGCCTTGCTGTCTGCCTGATGAACAGGTCTCTCCTCTGGGAAGATGGGGCTGTGCGAGCCCACCGGCTGCAACAGATTGAGGGAGGAACGGTGAAGACAGACAAAAATTAGATGTTAAAAACTCCAGTGCTCAGTTATGTCTTTAAGCCTTTACAAATATTCAACAACCTGCCCTTCAAAGATAAAGCCAATGTAACTTTCTTATTGTGAACAAATCCCATGTGTCAGCCCGTCTCTCAATACTTTCTCACTCCCGGTCTGTGGCTCTCAGCGACAAGTCCACTGGTTCCTACTGAAGGTGTAAATCTTTAAAAACACCTCACAAAGATGTGTTTCATGTTTAAAAAAGTAGTTCTGTTCTTGCTAAAACAGCTGGTCACTGTATAATCAAACAAACAGGAAGAAATAATGCATTGTTGGGGACTATGTTCAGTGGCAGATTAATTCACATTCGGTTCTCTATTCGGTGACTATCTGGAGGCAATGGGATGGTGTATGTGGGATTTATATGTTTGTGGTACAACAACAATGTACAATGGAGCTCTATGGTACTGGTCTTTTCATTGGATTTGTTAACAATAAGAAAGAGCATAGTATTATTCCTTAAAATAAATGTGTTGCAGTCCAAGTGCAGGATTAAAACATTCTTGCTTTGAACATATTTTGATCTTCTAGCAGAGAGGAAGCCTCTGTACCGTGTCGTCCTCCTCCTCGTCGGACCAGACTAGCGTCATATCGCTGGTCAGCTCCACCTCAGCTGAGTCCCGGTCTTTGGATATTTCCTTCACCTCCTCTGCCTCATCTATAACCAGAAAACACAGATGGTAAAGAAAAGATATGGGACATCCAGTAGGCCCTGGTAGATCAGTAACGGAAGCTTCATCATGTGACTGCCCTCAGACTGTTGACTAACAGGAATTAGGGACAGAGGCCTCCAGAAAGCAAGAGTTGTTTCACTGTACCTGACTCGTTAAGCTTGACATCTTGGTTGTGATCAGCCTTGCTGTCCTGTATTCAAAAGCAGGAAGAACAGAGAAATGAGCAGGCAGTTGGAAAGATGCCTGGATGTTATGACTGAAATACAACGAGAAAAAGAGATTGACCACCAAAAAGTTAGCAATCAATATGACCCATTCTTCACTTTCGCCACTTTAAGTAGACTAGAATGAATGATTAAGCCACACATGCGATTATTAATTAATTAAATTTTAGGTTCAAACAACAGGATCAGACTGCTTGTTACTGATGTTACGCTGAACATCACATTGTTACAATATGAAATGTCACATAAATATCAACCAGTTGAAGCAATAAGGTTATATATTATTCATATTTCTTGTCAGTGTATTAAGTATTTTATCTGTAGGCTTTTTATGGAATACATTTATTCACAATTTTACTGCATCCACATTTCTACAAATCTACATTTAATGCAACACTTCAGGAGTATTATAGATTTAAAAATAACATAACTTGGACTTTTATTACAAAGATATGAGACTTCATAGAGGTGTTCAAAGAGCCTTAATGGGCTGCCTCAAAACTTCATAAGGCTTCAACCGCCGTCACCAAGGTTGAATAAAATATAATATAATAAATATGTTGCAGAACAACATTCCTCAGTGTGGTTTAGTGGCTTTGAACAGAGCAATAGAGGAGCTGTTCCTGGTGGCTGCCAGCTGCAGCTCTCTCGCTCAATACTGGACCAATTTCAGTTCAACTGTTCTCCCCATTAGTCACTTAGACACAAAACATAGGAAAATGAGGTTCAGGTTGAAAAATACAGAAGTTTCCCTTCAACTGGGCCATTGTATCAGCTAATATGAGCTCACTGGAGTTATATTGGTATCACCAAACATGTGAGCTGATTAATAACAAAACACTGCAGAACAGAAATGTCAAAGATATGTTTTTGGTCCTTAAATCCTGAATTGTGTCTAGGTCAAAAAGGGGAAATCTAAGGGATCCATTTCAACAATGTTCATGTTTCGTTTCACTTTAAACTCTCTAATATAAACATCGGACTAAAAAATCCAGTAGTTTCAGGCGCCGCTTGACAATCCGACAAGCACTTTGAAGCACACAGACACCTGAACTCACCTGCCTCAGACTCTGATCCCCAGTGGCTCCTGAAATCCCTTCAGTGCCTGAACATCTGAGCTCTGCAGCTGAAGGACTCGCAGAGTGATTCTGCACATCAAGATGAACCTTTTGTGGTCGCCCAGTCCTGCCCAACACTGGGCTTGTACAGCATCCGTGACTCTGCTCAGTCTGTCCTCCATCAGTCTCTGAGAACACGGGACTTTTGCAGATTGCTGATTCTGGGGGAGGGAGGTTCTGGGGAAGACCAGGGCTTTTGGGGAATACCGGGCTCTTAGGCCGACAGGACGCGGACCTCACAGAGGAGGTTAAACTCTCCTGAGAAGAGAACATGAACCCTGAGTTACAGACATTGACTTGGGGTTTGCAGGCACTTGGTGACTTCTCATGCTGAGTATTCCTGCCAAACACTGGACTTTTAAAATACTCAGGACTCGGCTCTGTCTCTCCATCGTCTCCGTGATCAGTCTCTGAGGAGACAGGACTTTTAGGAAAAGCTGTGCTCTTGGATAAAGTGAGGTTACCGGAGCGTTTGGGGCTTTTGGGAAATGTTGGGCTCTTGGGTTGAGCAGGCGAAGACTTTCGAGGCGAGGTCCAACTGTCCTGAGACAACAACACAAACCCTGAGGTTCTGCAGGTTTGCAGCAGGTCCTGGCTCAGACGGGGGACGTGAACCTCGGCTCTGCAGCCAGTCGAGGGGAAGACAGGGGATTTACGGAGCTGACAATCGTCGATCTGGGTCGACTCAGAGCTCTGATTTATTGTTGAGAGAAGACAAATACATACATGATCATTCATTTAGAGTCATGTTTGTGTCCACCTGATGAATATATGTCCAATATTCATTCTCTTTTAACTCTGTTTTTAGTCTCCACCAGCTAGTCTTTTAATTGCGTCTGAGCAGGTAGTGTACGCTGGGTTTTTGCAGCTTTCTTTCTGAAAAAGACGCTATGAGTGATTCATTATTTATCCAACAAAGAAGCTAACACTTCTCTTGTTACACCTTTTCAAACTTACGGACTTTTCTGTTTTATATCATTGCAAACTCAATTAATTGGCAACTATTTTGATTATCAGTTAAAGCACATTCAAGAAAAGTTTCAATCATTGGTTTATTCGCCTTTTTTTTGTTTTATATCATTGTAACTGAATATCTTTGGGTGCGGTTTGAAGATCTCACCTTGGGCTCTGGGAAAATGGTGTTAGTGGTTGTTTTTGCACATTTTCAAAGAAACCCTGACAGATTAATTGATAATGAAAATAATAATTAGCTGTTTTGGGATTTCAAGAAAGCAGGTTGGGCTCTTGGAAACTGTCACCAGCAGCCTTTTGTGGCCTTTTATAGACAAATTAATTAAATAACTAAAGCAAAAAATAAAAATAAACTCAACACATTATTCAAAAGGTAAGAAAGAAAAGTCATAAATGTTTTTGACGAACCTGGGTTGAGTCCAGAACCAGGTCTAGGGACTCTGAGCTGCAGGGTGATGCCTGAGAGTAGATGTTCTGAGTCTGGGACAAGTCTGGCATCTCCAGCAGAGGACTTCCTTCTTTCCTTTTCCGCTTTTTATTCCTGTTATTACTTTCATCTCCAGTTCCTTTTGCTCCTGGGAATACAATACAGCATGTTTAATGCCAGCAATTTGTCTCATTAAATGAACAAATTACATATTTTGCCTTCTCTGCTGTGGGACTTCAGCAGAATCTCATGTTCCTTGTCCATGTCAGTGCAGACAGAAACTAAGCGTTGTCGGATATCTAACAGCAGAACTGCCTCAGCGCTCAGTGACCCACCTGTGTTCAGGTCTGTCTCTGGTGTGCAGCCGACCTCTGAGGCTCCCTGATCGACGACAGACACCGGCTTCCCATTTGAGTAGAGGAGTTTCCGCCGAGAGCAGATCCTGAGTGAGGCCTCAGCATCCGTGAGCAGACTCTGACTTTGGGAAGGGGGGCACGGTTGTGTCTGACTGGCCATCTACAAGAGGAAAACCACAAAGGGCTACTGTATTAACAAATGATCGAGATCCTGTATTAACTCTTTTTAACCAGATTGATGCAATTTGCATCAAAAATCACACACACCTTTCTCAGTTAGAGCTCATTTCTTAGATATTCACATGCATCCAGTGTGTTGGAGTCGGTTTAGCACTGACTGGCTTTGTTTATTTATCCTACCCTCGCTGATATAAATGGTGTGGAAAGTAATAATAATATCAGTATAACACAATACTATTCAACAGCACCACAAACGACATCCACCAAATTTACCATACAGCCGTATCGACATGCCTCTAAAACAAGAACTGAACATTATCACCTTCAAGAAGGGAGGATTTCAAAAAACTCTGGACTCACACTCTCATGGATGGCTTTCATCATGGCCTCTTCCTCTTTCTGCAGCCGGAGTGCGGTGACACTGGCTTCCTGTTCACTCAGACGCAGAGCCAAATCCATCATCTCCTCTTCTGTCATCTCTAAAAACAGCAGACGCGAGGGTACCAAGTCAGACGTCAGGGACGTATATTACAGATTCACAAAAATTCTGCCTCTCACATTAGTACAAATATAGGATTTTATTTTATTACGTTTTAGGCTTTTTTTCTGTCATTACACCGACATTAATTGTGTCAATGACAAGTTACAGTATCTTTAATATAGTTCGAAATTTTCATTTGTTCATCATTTGTATTTATTTCTATTAAATTCACTTTATTTCTGATATAGCTATAACAACGTTTATCTTCTGCTAATTAGAAACTATGAAAACATTCAAATGTTTTGTAGTTGTTTTGGTACGCTGGATGTCATGTACCTTTGGGTTTGGATTTGTTTTCCCTCTCTTTCTTGCGCTTTTCTCTCGACGATGAAGGTGACAGAATTGACAATGAGAGCTCGTCCTGGAGGAGCAAACAAACAGTCCAAGTGTTAGTGCTGTTTCCCTGAGCTCATAAAGACCTCGTGTTTCACAGATCTGGGTTTCAAAGGAGTGACTTTTTGTTTTGCCCCGTTTTTGTCTGAAGAACTAACTATGTTCAAATTATCACACAACTATCACCCATAAATTACGATCCAGACACAGCACATCAAACCTGCTCTTGAAAAAACAACTTAGAACAAGTCCCAGCTTTAGGTTACTGAACCGAAGTGACGATGTACTCTACAACACGGTTTTAGACACACGAACGTCTCTGAAACTGATCCTGATTCTGACTAATGTTCACATTTCTTTACATTGTCGTCTCTGTCGTCGAGAGCTTCGTCCTCCTGCTGGCTTCCAGAGGGAATGTCACTCACATCCTTGATCATTTGCTTTCGCAGAGCCATCCTGGTCTGCTTCTGAGAAACTGTGACCAACAGAGACACAAAAAAGCAGCTTTTAAGCCAGCGTTTCAAATCAAATCTCTGCTGGTTTTCTATCTTGAATGCTTTCTTGTCACCTGCCTACCTCTGATTACTTTTTGCAATCTGATGCACCACAGATTCAGCATTTCAAAGGGGTGTGTGAGGTATTGTACACGTGTAGTAACGCACATGAGTAAAACTGTACTTCTACTTTCTACTCAAGTATATTTTCTTCTGCCTGCAAGAAAAATAAGAACAACCTGTCTTTGGACCGATGTGCAACGATGACGGAGTAAAACCCCGAACAAGAGGCAGCTTCCAGTAACAACCTCTGTCCACATCTGGCTACACTTTTTATATCTAATCTAAAACAAATATAAGTAACATAAAGTGCTTGCTGTGCCTTTTAAAACCTCCTCTTCTTACCTCTGTAAGCACATTGAGGTGAAAATATAGAGGTTTTATGATAACGATGGTGGTCTGATGTACTAATAACTTAGTGAGCAGTAAAAAAGGAAGAGATTAGGGCTGAGCAATTAAAGACTGCACATATTTTAAAACTTTTATAAAGTGAAAATTAAATTAATGATACAAAAAAATCATAATTTCCACACTTAACGTGAATCATACCGTGATCATAATATGATGTTTTTACCATATCGTGCAGCCCTAGAAGAGAGCGGTATTTCTCTACCTGCTCTACTTTATTAAAACTATTTCCAATGAGTGCTTTTGTCATTATTCCACCCTAAAAATATTAAAACAGACAGTAGCTTGTACTTTATTTACAAGGTATTTTTGAACTTTTAATCGAGTAATTGTACTTTTAATGAAGTAAAGAGTACTCTACCTACCACTGACAGCCAGCTTAGTGAGCTCTTATATATTTAAGTGATTTCTACAAGACAGAGCATCTGAGTGTAAGCTGAACCACAACTATAGTAGAATTAAACCTGGAGAAATTAAAAATAAAATCATTTTATTAAACAGTCTATGATTAAACCACAGCTTCAACAGGACATGGAGATAAAACGAGCTTTCTTGCACACAATACGTATTAAACTCAAGCCCCCCAAAAACTGCTGCAAAGCTTTAACCACAGCACCAACCTCGCCCACCCTCAGCAGGAGTTAGTGATGAAGAGTGTCCTCTTCTTCCTCTCATCTGTCCGGAGGCTGTGTGTGACGGGAAGGCACCAGCGTGGAGCCCCAAACACTAACCAACCCTCTGTGTTAAAGTTCAAACAAGAAGCGCTAAGTGAGAAGGCTGAAGTGACTTAAAGCAGATCGATTCCCATCCCGATCGATCCAGCTCATATTCAACGTTAGCTCACACAGCACATGAACCTGAACACACCAGACACCAAACACTGCGAATAAAGTTCCTGCTTTCGATTTTATGTGTCGTTAAAAGCTGATTTAAGGAGCACGCGTCGGCGCCTGTGTGTTTATGTGTGCGACGGCTTCACGAAACAACGACAAACCCGAACAATAGTCATTTTAGAGACACTCACTGCAGTTTTCCTCACTTTCGCGGCGCCATGTTTGTTTCTGTTTACGCAATCACGTGACGTCGACGTAAAACGCGTCCTTCTGGCTGCGTTCACGGACCGTCGGTTAATGGTCGCTTTATTGCTGGCCTTTCACCCGCGACCGGGGTCGGGTTTAATGTTCGCTTTATTGTTGCCTTCACGGACCGTAGGTACTGTTTATATAGATTAGAATTTAGATAGATAGCATAGATAGATTAGATTAGATTAGATTAGATAGATTAGATCAGATTTAGATAGATAGATAGATAGGATAGATAGATAGATAGATAGATAGATAGATAGATAGGGATAGAAGATTAGATTAATCACACAGTATTGACATTACAACAATTCGTTCATGGTTTATACAGGATTAATTATCTGACTTACTCTTCTGTCTACTTTACTACCTGGGTTTAAAAAATTTAATCAGTATCTAATCCAAATATCACAATATTAAAAGGGGATTAATTGGTCCAAGCAACAGTATTTGGAGACTAATTTTGGATCCTGTAAAACACAAACCTGGTAAGGCAATAATAAATAAATGTGCACTCACCAGTTGTTGTTATATTGGACTCCTGTTTGTGATGCCATTAATTAAGGAAAACTTTAAAGAAGATGAATCACTCACACTCGAAGAAGTATGAAACGTCGATGGCTTACACATCAGAATTTATTGAGGCTCGGCCGAGGAGGATGAGATCAGCAATACATGTTAACCACAGTGCAATGCCAACCAAATTCTGAAGGCTATCTTTAAATGACAGATATTTAATGTATTCCCTAGAGAATCTTCCCATATCATATCCCTGTACACATGTGTCTGTCTGTTAAATTTATCTTAACATTGGTCTTCAGTAACAGCGTGGAGCTACGATATGTCGGGTGCTCAGTGTTCAACCTTATCAGCTGTTCTGCATAGTCTCGTCAGCCAAACAGTCAAAAAGGAAGCCACATCTTAACCAGGAAGAGGCACAGGCTGTGACCTCCTCTAGGTTTGTAGACACAGTGGCATGGCGAGCACTATATATTTTCAGCCTGCTTCCTCCACAGAAAGAATGTTCTCTTATATTTGTTCTTGCAGAAAGTAATAAGAGGAAAATAAGAAAAGCCTATGTGGCATTCATGAACCGTTCACTGACAGCCAAGATTGTTCTGACCCACCTGAGTGTGTCGATTCATTGCGTCTAACATGTGACATGTGCGAACATTGTAATGTACACTCAGACAAAAGAGAAAACAAAGTAAAGGGAAAGGAAATTGCACTTAAGGGTAGCAAAATGAAAAATAAAAATGTATGCAGAGAAGATCAAATATTTGTGTATGCACAATTCATGCATGAGGCCTAGAGCTTCGCAGTTGGTATCTGGTTGATGTTTAACTAATAAGTGCAGGTTAGTCTAACTTGGTGTGTGTCCTCTTGTAACCATATAAAGGCACACTAACTGCTCTCGAATCCACATTTTAATATTTCCAGCCGGGATCCTACAGCTGACCTCCTCCAACAGTTGACATGGCATTAAATGGTAAAATAGCAGTAGTGACAGGAGCAGCGCTGGGGATAGGAAAAGCAATGACAGAGATACTCCTGCAAAATGGTGCCACGGTAAAGTTTTGCCTCTGTTATGCAACATACTGTGTGTGCAATTTTGTGGGCTCCTTTGCAGCATTATGTGTAAATATGTATGTAAATTACAAGCAAAAAGCCAACAGTTTTGTAATGAATGTGTATATTTAAACAAGGAGAGTCTGCAATATTTAACAATAAGCAGTTTTTTGATACGTAGTTGTATTTTATTGTAAAACATTTACAACAATGCAACAAAAAATAAGATTAATAGTTCATCCTTTTATGTCTTGCATCATATCCTTTTGAAAACATTACACACACTGTATGTTTGGCAGTTAATCAAAGCTTAGATATGGGTTAGAGAATGTATCTGCATTTCTTTTTGTGACCTATAAAAGTGATAATCTCTTTTTTAAACAGTATAGTTTTTACAGTTTGTATTTGCAGATTATCTGTGTGCATTTGAAATTCAGGCTGCACTGAAGCAAAGTCCAGCCATAAAAGACAAACACAGGCTGTCTCTGGACATTCTCCTGTACAGGTTGTCCTCCTGGATGTGAATGAAGCTGCAGGGAAAAGTCTGAAGGAAGCCCTCGACAAACAGTATGGACGAGAGAAAACTTTGTTCCTGAACTGTGATGTTGAGTCAGAGGAACATATAAAAGGTAACAGACAAACATACATCTAGTGCCAGTGTTTTTAAGATTTACACTTTCTACAATATCTGCACATTGCAACTACTGTGTGGCTAAGTTTAGGGAAAGATGGTTATGGGATATATGGTTAATTATGGTTTAGGTAGGGGTAGGGATAAGTAACACTTCTTGAAAATATGGGAAAGGTCATAGTTGCCCCTAATAAAAACAATTAACATCAAACGCAATTACACTAATGAGAATGTTACTTTTATATATTTAATCTTTTGCTAAAGAAACCTGAGAGAGAAATAGAACGGAGATAAGACACCAGGACTGGGTGATATGTTAATATATTCATCCAAGTACACAAAATCTGCATCAGAAACAATCACTCTCTAAAGTGGGATGAAACCTTTAATGTCCTTAAATCAATAATAATTATTCAATTCATAAGGTGCAAAGTAGTGATGACAGTCTTCCCAAATGTAATTATTACTTGTGAGTTACGAACAGTGAAAAGTGTTTTTTAAATCAAATAAGAGATGTGAGATACTAAGACAGCTGTAATAGGATACATTTAACAAATACGATAGGATGTTGTTCAGCCTGTATAACACACAGTGCAATATTTATGTCCTGAAATGAAACAAATAGAACTGTAATAAACTGTATCGACTTTCATAGTTTCATAGTATCAGAAAGTTGGTTGTGAAATTAAAGATTAACAGCTAAACGTGTTATTTTCTGCTTTAAAGCTGCCTTTCAGAAAACTGTGGAAACCTTCGGTGGAATTGATATCCTCTGCAACAATGCCGGCATCTTGAATGAGAGAACGTGGGAGAAAATGGTCTCCATAAACCTCGTAAGAATTTATACTCCTGTCTCATTCAGGTCAGAAAATAGTTTACTTACTAACAAAACTGTCTGTATATTAACACCTGCCTGCCTGGAAGAACTCCTCAGTCATTTCCCCATGTGCACTCAGGGCTAACTCGTTATTATTACATATTTAATGGAGTAAAGAGACATGTTTGGCTGTTTGTGTGTAAAAATCACCAAAATATGAATTCTTTCTTGTAGGTGGGTGCTATCAGGGTAGCCTACCTGGCTCTCCAGCACATGAACAAGTTGACCGGAGGTCGGGGAGGGGTCATCGTCAACACAGCATCAATGGCAGGTACAAGTAATTTCTTTGTATCTCCTTAAGCACATTTAGTATTTTAAGTTTTGTGAACTGTTTAAAACGTAATAATTAACTAAAATGAACGCTGGAAACATTGCTACTGGTGTTTGAACGCAAGTCTCTGCTGTGGGTGGGAGGTTTCATCTCTGTTACACCTCTGATATGATGTGCACAGGCTTATATGTTATTGTTTTACAAAAGCATCATGAAAGGTGGTTCCTCAGCACCTCAAAAAGTGCTGTAGTGAAAATTAAATCTCATAGCCAGAGCACACAGATGGGATATTTAAATGTATGTCATTTCTGCTGGTAGGGGGGTCTCACACATCAAAACAATACAAAAGACCAAGTCTGATGACGTTGTGAAGTAGTGTGGGATCATAGGAGTCGTTGTCTTCACCACCATTGCCAGAGGTCTTCTCCTATCCAAAAACAAAAAGTAGCTGCTATTTAAAATCAGTAAAAACAGTTTCACCTTAAAAATCTGTGTTTCTCCGACACTGATGGGACAAAGGA